AAAGTTGGACCCTTACCTGATACCACATACAAAAATTAAAATGGATAAAAGACCTAAATCTACGAAATAAAACTCTTAGAACAAAACAGAGGGGAAAAGCTTCATGATATCAGCTTTGGCAATGATTTCTTGGCTATGAAAACAAAAGCACACACAACCCAAGAAAAAATAGACAAATTGGATTTTATGAAAATTAACAACTTCTGTGCATCAAAGGACACTAATAACAGAGTAAAAAGGAAACCCACAGAATTGAAGAAAATATTTGCAAACCACATATATGATAAGGGATTTATATCCAGAATATATAAAGAACCGCTAAAATTTACCACCAAAAATAATCCAATTAAAAACTGGGGAAAGAATTGAAATAGACATTTCTCTAAAGAAGATATAAAATCAGCCAATAAGCACATGAAAAGATGTTCAACATCACAAATTGTTAGGGAGTTGTGAATTAAAAACACAATGAAGCCAGGTGTGGTGGCACGTGGATGTAATCCCAGTGACTTGGGTGGCAAGACAACACTTCACACTCATTAAGGTGACGATTATTTTAACAAACCCAGAAAACAACAAGTGTTGGTGAGGATGTGGAGAAACTAGAGCCCTTCTGCATTGCTGGTGGACAGATAAAATGGTGCAGCCACTGTGAAAAGGTTTGGCAGTTCATCAAAAAGTTCAATGTGGACTTACCACATGGTCCAGCAATTCCAATTCCATTCCTAGGCATATAACTAAGAGAACTGAAAACAGACTCCCACAAAAACATTAACAAAAATGTACACAGCAGCATTATTCATAACAGCTCCAAAGTGGAAAACAACCCAAATGTCCATCAATTGATGAATGGATAAACAGACTGCAGAGTATTACCCAGCCAGGAAAAGCAGTGAAGTACTGATACATGTCACAACATGGATAATCTGTTTTTTTATAAGCTAGTCAAGCATCATTGTGGGGGAGACAATGTTAAATCAGTTTAACAATAACCCACAACCCTCAGACCAACTCAACGTGGATAGTCCTTGACAGCAACATGCTATTGAAAGAGTCCAGTCACAAAAGGCCACATATTGTATGACTCCATACATGTTAAAGGTTCAGAATAGGCAATCTATAGAGACAGAAAGTAGATTGCGTTTTCCAGGGACTGGGAGGAGAGGAGAATGGGGTACTGGGTTTCTTTTGGGGGTGATGAAAACGTTCTAGAATTAGGTAGTGGCAATGGTTATACAACTTTGTGAATACATTAAAAAATACTGAATTGTACTCATTAAAAGGATGAATTACATGATATGTGAATTATATCTCAATGTAAACAATTAAGTAAGTTTAATTTAAAAAAATAATTCAGAATGACTTCTGAGGAGACACCAGTATCCTCACCTGCTCATAGATCTCGATGGCTTTCTGGTACTGCTCGAGCTGGGCGGCGTACGCTGCCACCTTCAGCAGACACTTGTTAGCTGAGCTGAAATCAAGAACCAGTGCAGAGTAAATAACAGGCCAATGGAAAAATAAAGGATGTGCACATGGGCCCCAGCACACCTTCATTTGATCCAGTCAAATACACTCATAGAGTATAAAGAAGACCTGTCTTTTATCACATGTAATAAAATCCATTAAATTATATTAAGAAAAATAATACTTGCCTGTTGGATTCTTCTCCTTTGTAATAGTCGGCAGATTGTTCATAATGTGCAATAGCCTGAAAATACATGCATATTTTATTCAGGAACAATTCATTTGTAGAGTTGTATTTAAAAACTACATTTGCATAGGTATTTTTCCTATAAATAAATTTATTCAACAGCAAACTCTTCACAACCCAGCCTACTTCATTCAAGGAACATTAAGAAAGTATACACCTCTGGAACCCTCTTGGGGGCAGAATGCTTGCTGTCTGTCAAAATCTGTTCTCCCTCCCCCCAACCCCCACCCCCACGCTCCCCAGAAAATGCCCAGCTACACTATTTGCTCAGCTTCTACCACAGTTAGGGGCAGCCCGTGACTAGTTCTCTCCACAGAAGGTAGACAGAGATGTTGTGGGCCACATCCAGGCTTAGGCCATACATCTTACTTTCAGTCCTGCTCCAGACCTTTTCCGGTGCCCATGAGCTAGAATGGCAAAGACCAAGTCCAGTGACATTGAAAACCACAAACTGAAGATGGCAGATCCCCTGGGCCCCCGGCTCCCTGCGGGTGGCACTGGCAATGATTTAGGGGAGTAGAATCAGAGCCGTCTGAGGCCACAGGCTAGAAGTGGCAAAGCCAGCATCATGCTGGTCTCTCGACTGCACAGCACCTCCCGGAACATTTGCCGTGAGCAGTTCTGCGAAAAACAGATACTTGCACTGCATTCAAATGATTATATTTTAGGTCTACTGTTTCAGCTACTTAGCCTACCCTAACTAATATGCTCCCCAAACCATATATTTTCTCAGAATTATTTATAATAGGAGAAAAACTGGCAACAATTTAAGTGGTTAAATATAATGGGCTACTGTGGTATGATTAAAGGTAAAGGATGGAAAGTATTCACATGGAAAATTCTTCATGAAATACTAAATTTAAAAATGTAGCTATAAAAGAATAAGTACACTATAGTCCTCTTCTTGCAAATATATAGTCACAGAAACAACCTGGAAGAAAATATTCCTTTGGAAAACTCAGAGCTGTCATGTACACACACGTGTGGGATTAGCTGATGACTATACATCTTCTCCCACTAAAATGTGAGCTCTGTGAGGGCAGGCCCTCGACTGTTCTGCTCTCCATCACACCCCTGGGCCTAGCAATCTGCCTACCATAGTAGTAGGTGCTCAATAAACAGATGCTAAGTGGATGAACACAAACTGCATCGAAAATCAACATCCCATATGAAACTACTGCCAGTATCTTGACTAATTTGGAATGTCCAGGAAAGAAAAGTTTTTCAGGGAATTTATGATTAATCAAAAATAACCTCCTTTGAACTGGCCTCATTCTGTAAAGTGTTTAGAACCTTTTCCCATTGTAATACATGGGATAAGGTATGAGAAACTTCACCAAATCTTTCTATAAAGAGTACTGGATTATATAACTTTGTCCCAGGGCAGAGAACGTAGCTACCTATCTTCCTAGTTATTAAAGCACCAGAATTTAATTAAGAGGGTTAGCTTGAACCATACGTAACTGCTATTGTTTTTTTAAAGAGCTGAATATTGACAATTTTGTCTAACTTGATACTTATTAAATAATGGCACTGCTCATCAAAATGTTAGAAATATAAACTATAGCTACACTTATCACAGTAAAAGAAAAATTTTAAACCAATCATCAAATTCCACAGTTTTCCCAAGTTTTGTCAGAGACTGGAGTTGAAAGGAAAGCATATCACTGGTTTAATAGAGAAGTTTCAGAGAAAAGAGACTGGCCACAGGTTATCTCTAGATGTTCACATCTACTTCAGAATTTTAACAAATAGTGAAATTTAACAGGCACAAGCAGATCACAAATCACCTTGCTCTGAAAATTTCAAGGACTACAATAAATATCAAAAGCAGACACAACCAGCAATAACAATAGCACACATAAAAATACAGACACTATGATCAGTTTATTACCCTATTATTTAAGTAGACTGCCAAAGGTGTCACGATATTCCTTCTTGGGGAACCTCGTCTAGGTTCCCTAAGAACCTCATATATGGAGAATACATGGGGTCCTGAGATGAGAAACAAGGCCACAATGACTGCTCTGTCATTGGTACCTTAAAAGAAAATCCAACTTCCAGGGCTCAAGCTTAGCAGTCCACTGTGCAGGTGAAAGAGCCTTACATAGCCTTAAAGAGGGATCAATTCTTTCACAAGAAATACCCCTAGACAGGACCTAACGTGAACCTGCCACATACACCTATCTTATGCCACAACTAACAGTATTAAATCAGGTTCTCCTAGGGATAAAACAGAAATGAGTCATAGTTCCTCTGGATCATTTAAAAGACCATTTGAAGTGTACCCATTTATTATTTGGTTCAGTGTTTTACTTCATGAAGTAAAAGTAGTAATATAAGTTTATAAAACATAGTTTACTGTTCACTAATCAAAATCGGTGAATGAATCAGAGAACAGACATTGGGTGCCCATTCTAGGGGAGGGAGAGAGACGAACACCAGGAATGAGGAGCAAGTACTAAAAGGGAAGAAATTCATCTGTAACAAACCAGATAGAAGGTAGTTTTGGTGCAACTGAGTTTTCAAACTTCACCCGCCACTGATAATCATTTGGTGAGTCCAACTAGAGAAGAGAAGGTAATGATGTTTCTAAACATGGGAGCCCAAACGTCAAGGACCGTAACAAGCTAACCTTGAGTATTCACTAATATTCTTCTGCTTTTAAAAGAACATGCCACATCAATAGGAGAAGGTGCCACCTACTGGCCAATTCTCAGAATGGCAGGAACACCATGAGGTAATGGGGGTTTCAGAAGCAGCCATGACAAATCATCATTTTTTTAAAAAAGAAAAGGAAAAAAGCAGTGTGCCTCAGGTCATTTTACCCACCCTCAATTTTACCGATACCCATGTGGTGGAGCAGTTGCCTGAGACCATGCCCTGGTGGCAGAGAAGGCGCTCCACTGCGGGCTCCTGCCCCCAGTGTGCTCCTCTGAACGTTGTGGAGAGCAAGCTGGCATAGCAGCCTCTGCTGGCAAAGGTGTTCCACGCACAGTGCTTGTCCCCACAAGACTCATTCAACCTCAGTAAATGTACCATGCCCATCTCAGACACCTGGACCCATACATCCCCCTCCTGTCCCATCATCCATCTCATACCAGGGAACAAAGGAGTCCCAGGTCCAGCTCCATCAGCTTCCTTCAGAATACCCAGACAACCTTCCAAAGAGATGGTTCACACACACATGCCAATGCACAGGGTGGCCCTCACTTGATCAAGAAGCTCAGAAGGTATTCCCAGGAAGTCATGGCAATTATATATATATTTTAAAAAAACAGCCAAATAATGAACTTTATGTAACAAGCATGAGCAAATTTTATGCTGAATAACCAAAAGGTGGCAGTCAGCATGAAGTCAGAGGGTGAGCATTAACAACGCCAGTCCAACTTTAGCACTGCTAAGAGATACTTCTCTGAATCAAGATTCCATCTGCTATGGCAGAGGTAGTCATTTGTTTATTTGACAAATACTTATTTAGAGCTTACTATGTCCCAGAGTTCTGGGTTCTTGGGACACATCAGTAAAACAGAGGTAAAGCTCTCTGTGGACACAGGTGCCCATTCTAGGGGAGGGAGAGAGACGAACACCAAGAATGAGGAGCAAGCATATCCTGGGGCATGGTATGAGGTGACAAACGCAGTAAGAGAGAAAAAGCTGAGCGAGGTGTGTGTGGGGGGTCTGGTATGGATTCCTGAGGAGCTGAGGTTTTAATTTTAACTATTAATAGGTGGCCATGATAGCCCTCATGGAAGAGGTGATAAATGAGCAAAAACTGAAGGACATGGGGAAGCTGACCATGCAGAGTTGAAGGATGTGAGGAGTCAGCCAAGGAGACATTTGGGGAAGAGCTCTGCAGACAGAGGGAACAGCAGTGCAAAGGTCCTGTGCTCACCTAGCACATGTGAGGAGAACATGGAGGCCATGGTGGCTAAAGCAGGATATGCAAGAGGAAGACAGTAAAAGGACAGAGAAGAGGTCCTACAGGTGTAGGAGCATGTGGAGCAGGGGCTGTGGGGAGCAATTCAGTGGGGCCATGAAGGCTCTGCAAGGCTCTGACTGTTCCTCTAAAGGAAGAGAGTGCCAGCAAAAGGTAATGAGCCGTGGAGAAACAGAATCTGACACACGGCTCACAACGATCACTCTGGCTGCTCTGTGGCATGGGGGTGTGGGGTGGGCAGGGGGGGGAAGCAGGGAATAGAAGCAAGGGGAGGCTCTTGCTGGGATCAAGCACAAGCTGGGAGACAAGGAGGTAGTGAGAAGTGCTGAGACTTGGGAGCAGGGAGGACAGTGCCCACAGAAACTGCTCACAGGTCAGATGTGGAGAGAGAGAGAAAGGCAAGGAAGCCTGCAGTTTTGGGGGGCCATGGGAGTGCTTGAGATCAGAATCCAGTCTCAGACACGCTGGTTTGGAGACAGCTGCTGGATGCAAGTGGAGAGGTCAGCAGGCAGGTGGACACAGAAATCTAGAGCTTGGAGAAAGGTCTGGGCTGCAGTCAGATTTGTGAGTTGCTGGATGACAGATGATACTTAAGGCTGTGACGGTTGAGTGAGTACAGAGGTGAGCTCTTACGTTTCCTTCCCAGGGTACTCAGTGATAGAGCTGAAGATTCTTTTGGTAATACTAATGTTCTGACATGAATCAAAGAGAGAGTTCTCATGTCTTAGATGCTCCCTCCAGGAGCCGGTCCACTTAGCCAGCCAGGCACTGAAAGCCTTCATGCAAAGCCATCTATGATCACTCTGCACCACTCAGACTTGATGGGGAGAGAAGAGGTCTCAAGTCAACTTGTCTACATGCTTCACTCGTGAGGAACTGTGCCCACTGCTTACCTTCTCAATGTCCACAAGTTCAGTCTCATAGATCTCTGCAATAGTGATATGGTGCTTGGCTGCGATTGTAAACCTTCCCTGGGAGAAAAAACAAAAATCAGTCACTCACCCATTTTACCTATTTGAATGTCAATCAGTTTGGGAACAGAAAAAAAAAAGAACACAACTTGAAGCCATCTCAAGGACTCCACCCCACAGCCACTCAAGCAATGCAATGTCTTACCATGTCTGTGTAAATGTCGATGGCTGCATTTAAGCAGTTGATAGCCTCTGAAGCGTAGGCATTTAAGAAAAACAATGAAAAATCCATTCAGTCAAAGAGGGTTCAGGTGAGCCTATCTTCATGGCTGTTATTAGAACGTTAATGAGGTACAATTTTGGGGCGGAGGGTGGGCAGGTTAGTTAGTGAGAAGCAAACAAATCATGCATAAGCCCAAAGTCATCAGCATGGCTTTGCTCCCAGCAGCTACAGTGTAATTTGGGGAATGGTAGGTGGAGTAACATTGGCTCAGTTTCTATTAACCTTAAAGTGAGGACTCCA